AAAAAATTAGCTGGGCATGGTGGTGCGTGCCTGTAATCCCAGCTACTCAGGAGGCTGAGGCAGGAGAATTGCCTGAACCCAGGAGGTGGAGGTTGCGGTGAGCCGAGATCGCACCATTGCACTCCAGCCTGGGTAACATGAGTGAAACTCCGTCTCAAAAAAAAAAAAAAAATAATAATAATAATAAAATAAAATTTAAATGTAGACTCTGCTTGTGATGATTAATTTTATGTGTCAACTTGACCAGACTAAGGGATACTCAGATAGCTGGTAAAACATTATTTCTGGGTATCTCTGTGAGGATAGTTCTAGAAGAGGTGAGCGTTTGATTGGGTAGATTGAGTAAAGAAAATCTGCTGTAACCAATGCAGGTAGGCATGATGCAATTCCTTGAGGGCCCTGATAGAACAAAAGGTGGAGGTGAAGCGAATTCTCCTTCCCTCTTTTATTTATTTATTTTTTTGAGATGGAGTCTTACTGTAGCTTCTGCCTCCCGGACTCAAGCAATTCTTGTGCCTCAGCCTCCCCAGTAGCTGGGATTACAGGGGTGCGCCATCCTCGACCACCCAAAGTGTTGGGATTACAGGCTTGAGCCACCGCGCCCGGCAGACATTCATTTTCTCTTGCCATCAGAGCTCCTGGTTCTCAAGCCTTCAGACTCTGGGATTTAACCCAGTAGTTCCTATGGTTCTCAGGCTTTTGGTCTTGGAGTGAGAGTTACACCACTGGCTCCTCTTCTCAGGCTTTCAGACTCAAACTGAATGACCACTGGCTATCCTTGGTTCTCTAGCTAGCAGAAGGCAGATCATGAGATTTCAAAGCCTCCATAAGTGTGTAAGCTAATTCCCATAATAAATATTATCTTTTTTTTTTCTTTTGAGACAGAGTTTTATTCCTTTTTTTTTTTTTTTTTTGAGACGGAGTTTCGTTCTTGTTACTAAGGCTGGAGTGCAATGGCGCGATCTCGGCTCACCGCAACCTCCGCCTCCTGGGTTCAAGCAATTCTCCTGCCTCAGCCTCCTGAGTAGCTGGGACTACAGGCCTGCGCCACCATGCCCAGCTAATTTTTGTATTTTTAGTAGAGACGGTGTTTCACCTTGTTGACCAGATGGTCTCGATGTCTTGACCTCGTGATCCACCCGCCTCGGCCTCCCAAAGTGCTGGGATTATAGGCGTAAGCCCCCGCGCCCGGCCCAGAGTTTTCTTCTTATCGCCCAGGCTGGAGTGCAGTGGCTCCATCTCAGCTCACTGGGACCTCGCCCTCCCGGTTTCAAGTGATTCTCCAGTCTCAGCCTCCAGAGTAGCTGGGATTACAGACCAAACCCAGCTAAATTTTATTTTTTTAGTAGAGACAGGATTTCACCATGTTGGCCAGGTTGGTCTTGAATTCCTGATCTCAGGTGATTTGTCAGCCTCAGCCTCCCAAAGTGCTGCAATTAAGGTGTGAGCCACTGTGCCCGGCCTAAATATTCTCTTATACATATATCTACACGTATCCTATTTGCTCTGTTTCTTTGGAGAATTCTGCTGCTATATATTTTGTTACCAAGAGTGGTTCTAGAGAAGCAGAATTTTGTTTGTTTGTTTTTGTGAGACAAGATCTTTTTTTTTTTTTTTTTTTTTTGAGACAGAGTTTCACTCTTGTTACCCAGGCTGGAGTGCAATGGCGTGATCTCGGCTCACAGCAACCTCCGCCTCCTGGGTTCAGGCAATTCTCCTGCCTCAGCCTCCTGAGTAGCTGAGATTACAGGCACGTGCCACCATGCCCAGCTAATTTTTTGTATTTTTAGTAGAGACGGGGTTTCACCATGTTGACCAGGATGGTCTCGATCTCTTGACCTCATGATCCACCCGCCTCGGCCTCCCAAAGTGCTGGGATTACAGGCTTGAGCCACCACGCCCGGCGTCTTGATTTACTTTTCAACCTGACTCTGGCATCACATTAGGAGATAAGGAATCAAAGTATTTTACCCCAAAACATGTTTCTTTGCCATACTTTGAAATGGCCCTGCAAAGCTGTTCTTTGTTGGGGAAATTTGCATCTGTAAAGAATCTCCGCCAGGCAGGCCGGGAGTGGTGGCTCACGCCTGGAATCTCAGCACTTTGGGAGATCTAGGCGGGTGGATCATGAGGTCAGGAACTCTAGACCAGCCTGGCCAACATAGTGAAACCCATCTCTACTAAAAATACAAAATTAGACAAGCATAGTGGTGCACACCTGCAGTCCCAGCTACTTGGGAAGCTGAGGCAGGAGAATCACTTGAACCCGAGAGGTGGAGGTTGTGATGAGCCAATATCACTCCACAGCACTCCAGTCTGGGCAACAGAGTGAGATTCCGTCTCAAAAAAAAAAAAAACCTCTATTAACATAGCTATATCTTTTTCCTCCAGACCCTCCTAATGCCCAATGCCAAAGAGATTAACTAAGATCTGAATAGGAAATATTTGTCATCTATTCTATTGTCTCTAAGAGCAGCCACTATAAGAATTCCGAAGAACTCTAGTCTCCAAAATCTTTATCTTTACCTGAACATTCCCTTTCTATCAATCTCAGGCCTTTAATCAAAGTCGAGCGTCTTTTTTTTTTTTTTTTCTGTTAATTATCTGAGATGGAGTTTCACTCTTGTTGCCTGTGTTGGAGTGCAATGGCTCGATCTCAGCTCACCACAACCTCCGCCTCCCAGGTTCAAGCGATTCTCTTGACTCAGCCTCCCAAGTAGCTTGGATTACTGGCTCCCACCAGCATGCCTGGCTAATTTTTGTATTTTTAGTAGCGATGAGGTTTCACCATGTTGACCAGGCTGGTCTCAAACTCCCGACCTCAGGTGATCCGCGTGCCTTGGCTTCCGAAGTGCTTATATTACAGGCATGAGCCACTGCGCCCCGCCTAATTTTGTATTTTTAGTAGAGATGGGGTTTCTCCACCTTGGTCAGGCTGGTCTTGAACTCCCGACCTCAGGTGATCTACCCACCTTGGCCTCCCAAAGTGCTGGGATTACAGGCGTGAGCCACGCCCAGCTAATTTTTGTGTTTTTATTAGAGACAGGGTTTCAGCATGTTGGCCAGGCTGGTCTTGAACTCCTGACCTCAGGTGATCCGCCCTCCTCAGCCTCTGAGGGTGCTGGGATTCCAGGCCTGAGCCACTGCACCTGCCGCCCACTATATTTTCAAAAATGTGGCTAGAGGTTGCCAGTAGAGCACCAGACATAGAGTCCTGCACATCAAGGATTTCACCGTCTAAGGTGGAATAGGCCCCTAACAAGTAAACATCAATGATTACTTATTTATAATTAGTATAATTGTGACAAAAAAGAATGCAAGATGCTGGAGAGCTAACTGGAAAGATTCCTTGAAAAACAGGATGTCTAAATTGGGGTAGTAATCCACAGTAACAGGGGAAGAAAGAATAACCTATTCTGGGGGAATAGCAGAACAAAAGGCTCTGAGGTGGGAAAGTACTTGTTGACTTCAAAGAATCAGAAGATAAAAAAAGCTAGCATAGCTACTGTAAAAATAAATGTAAAATCTAGCATGTTGGAACTGTAAATTATTTTCAGCCTTAAAGTAGTGAGATTATAGGGCTTCAATCATGTGACAGGCAGCTGTTACCTAGGCAACTAGAGACTTTGTTTCTCTGATCATAGATTATTCTTATTTCTTATCTACATTGTTTTTAAAATATTGCAAATGACTAAAGGGCCAGAGCAGACCTCTTCTCCTTTCACAGTAGGTCTTCATTATAGATTAACTTCCCTCTTACTTTTCTCACACAAATACTTCATGGCTATCACATCCTCTTAAAATGGAATGTTGGGCTGGGCTCATGCCTGTAATCCCAGCACTTTGGGAGGCTGAGGCGGGCAGATCACCAGAGGTTCGGAGTTCGAGATCAGCCTGACTAATATGATGAAAGTGCATTATTTTACATTGGAAAGGTAATGAAAACTAGCACAAAGAAAACAACCTGGGAGTGGTGGCTCATGCCTGTAATCCCAACACTGTGGGAGGCCGAGGTGGGCGGATCACTTGAGGCTAAGAGGTCCAGACCAGCCTGGCCCACATGGTGAAACCTGGTAGCTACTGAAAATACGAAAATTAGCTGTGTGTGGTGGCAGGCACCTGTGGTCCCAGCTACTTGGGAGGCTAAGGCAGGAGAATTGCTTGAGCCTGGGAAACAGAAGTTGCAGTGATCCAAGATTGCACCATTGCATTCCAGCCTGGGCAACATAGTGAGATTTTATCTAAAAAAAAAAAAAAAAAGAAAAAAAAAAAAGAAAAAAAGAAAAGAAAAAAGAGAGAACAAAGAAAACAAAAACTAGAACTAATTAAATTGCTGTAATTCAGAAACCAAGCTAGGATAGAAAATGTTATAATCCTACTAAACTTGTTTTCTGTCTTTGTTTTTTTTTTTTTTTTTTTTTTTTTTTTGAGACGGAGTTTCGCTCTTGTTACCCAGGCTGGAGTGCAATGGCACGATCTCGGCTCACCGCAACCTCCGCCTCCTGGGTTCAGGCAATTCTCCTGCCTCAGCCTCCTGAGTAGCTGGGATTACAGGCACACGCCACCATGCCCAGCTGATTTTTTGTATTTTTAGTAGAGACGGGGTTTCACCATGTTGACCAGGATGGTCTCGATCTCTTGACCTCGTGATCCACCCGCCTCGGCCTCCCAAAGTGCTGGGATTACAGGCTTGAGCCACCGCGCCCGGCCTGTTTTCTGTCTTTGTAAGAAAGAATTCAAGGGCAGGATGCAGTGGTTCTTGCTTGTAATCTCAGCACTTTGGGAGGCAAAGGCAGCACGATCTTGTGAACCTGGGAATTTGACATCAGCCTGGGCAATATAGTAAGATCTCATCACTTATTTATTTATTTATTCTTTAGAGACTGGATATAGCTATGTTGCCCAGGCTGGAGTGCGGTGGCTATTCACAGGCCCGATCCCACTGATCAGCACGGGAGTTTTGACCTGCTCAGTTTCCCATCTGGGCCAGTTCACCCCTCCTTAGGCAACCTGGTGGTCCCCCGCCCCTGGGAGGTCACCGTATTGATGCCGAACTTTGTGCTGACACCCGATTGGCATAGTGCACTACAGCCCAGAACTCCTGGACTCAAGCGATCCTCCAGCCTCAGGCCAGTAGCTGGGACTACAGGCATGTGCCATTGTGCCCGGCAAGATCTCATCTCTTTTTTTTTTTTTTTTTTTTTTTTTTTGGGACGGAGTTTTGCTCTTGTTACCCAGGCTGGAGTGTAATGGCGCGATCTCGGCTCACCGCAACCTCCGCCTCCTGGGTTCAGGCAATTCTCCTGCCTCAGCCTCCTGAGTAGCTGGGATTACAGGCACGCGCCACCATGCCCAGCTAATTTTTCGTAGTTTTAGTAGAGACGGGGTTTCACCGTGTTGACCAGGGTGGTTTTGATCTCTTGACCTCGTGATCCACCCACCTCGGCCTCCCAAAGTGCTGGGATTACAGGCGTGAGCCACCGCGCCCGGCCGATCTCATCTCTTAAAAAAAAATTAAAACTTGGCTGGGCATGTTGGCTCAGGCCTGTAATCCCAACACTTTGGGAGTCCGAGGCAGGCGGATCACGAGGTCAAGAGATCGAGACCATCCTGGCTAACATGGTGAAACCCCGTCTCTACTAAAAATACAAAAAAATTAGCCGGGCGTGGTAGTACACGCCTGTGGTCCCAGCTACTCGGGAGGCTGAGGCGGAACAATCGCTTGAACTCAGGGGGCGGAGGTTGCAGTGAGCTGAGATTGCGCCACTGCACTCCAGTCTGCCAACAGAGCAAGACTCCGTCTCAAAAAAATAAAAGTAAAAAATTGGTCGGGCATGCAGCAGGCACTTGTAATCCCAGCTACTTGGGAGGCTGAGGCAAGAGAATCGCTTGAACCTGGGGGCAGAGGTTGCAGTGAGCTGAGATCGCACCATTGCACTCCAGCCTGGGCGACAGAGCAAGGCTCTATCTAAAAAAAAAAAAAAAAAAGGCCAGGCGTGGTGGCTCAGGTCTGTAATACCAGCACTTTGGGAGGACAAGGCAGGTGAATCACAAGGTCAGGAGTTTGGGACCAGCCTGGCCAAGATGGTGAAGCCCTGTCTCTAGTAAAAATACAAAAATTAGCTGGACACAGTGGCTCATGCCTGTAATCCCAGCACTTTGGGAGGCTGAGGTGGGTGGATCACGAGGTCAAAAGATCTAGACCATCCTGGCCAACTTGGTGAAACCCCATCCCTACTAAAAATACATAAATTAGCAGAGCATGGTGGTGCACACCTGTATTCCAAGCTACTCGGGAGGCTGAGGCGGGAGTGCTTGAATCTGGGGGGTGGAGGTTGCAGTGAGGTGAGATCACGCCTTTGCACTCCAGCCTGTGTGACAGGCAAGACTCTGTCTCAAAAAATGATAATAAATAAATATAAATTAAGATTAAAAATAAAGAAAAATAGGCCGGGCGTAGTGGCTCACACCTGTAACCCAAGCACTTTGGAGGCCAAGGCGGGCGGATCACCTGAGGTTGGGAGTTCAAGACCAGCCTGACCAACATGGTGAAATCCCATCTTTATTTTTTTAAATAAAATAAAATAAATGAATAAAGAAAAATAGAAACTTAACAGAGTGAGACTCCATTAAAAAAAAAAGCTTTGCTCGCCGGGCGCGGTGGCTCACGCTTGTAATCCCAGCACTTTGGGAGGCCGAGGCGGGTGGATCACGAGGTCAAGAGATCGAGACCATCCTGGTCAACACGGTGAAACCCCGACTCTACTAAAAACTATAAAAAAAATTAGCTGGGCATGGTGGCATGTGCCTGTAATCCCAGCTACTCAGGAGGCTGAGGCAGGAGAATTGC